TGGAGCACCCGCGCTCTGTAAGTGACAAATGACAACACTTTCCAGTCGCCAACCATCTCAACTCCCCCTCTCTCTCCCTGGGTAACATGTCCATCCTGGGCCTCCTCCAGTGTCACAATGACACCACCTGCAAACTGGAGGAACAACACCTCATATTCTGCCTCGAGAGCCTACAACCCATGGCCTAAACATGGAATTCACCAGTTTTAAAATCTCCCCACCCCCGGCCTCATCCCATGACCAACCCTCCCTCTCATCTCCACCTCCTTGACCTGACACAACCTGTCCATCTTCTCTCCCACCTATCCGCTCCTCCCAACTCACTGACCAATTTCCACTACTCCCTACCTGCATCCACCCATCACCATCCCACCTACCTTACCCCAGCCCCACCCCTCCTCTCTCTGTTTATTTCCCAGCTCCCTTCCCCGTCCCCAGTCCTGACGAAGGGTGTAAACTCGAAACATTGACTTTCCTGCTCCTCTGATGCTGCCTGATGTGCTGTGTTCCTCCAGCTCCACACTGTATTTACTCATCTTCAGGTATGCCTGGTGCTGCTCCTGGCATGCCCTCCTGCACTCTCCATTGAACCAGGGTTGATCCCCTGGCTTGATGGTAATGGTTGAGTGGGGGATATGCCGGGCCATGAGGTTATAGATTGTGCTGGAGTACAATTCTGCTGCTGTTGGTGGCCCACAGCGCCTCATGGATGCCCAGTCTTGAGTTGCTAGATCTGTGCGAAGTCTGTCCCATTTAGCACGGTGATAGTGCCACACAACACTTTGGAGGTTATTCTCAATGTGAAGGCAGGACGTCGTCTCCACAAGGACTGTGCGATGGTCACTCTTACCAATACTGTCATGGACAGATGCAACTGGAGCTGGCAGATTGGTAAGGATGAGGTCAAGTATGTTTTTCCCTCTTGTTGGTTCCCTCACCACCCGCCGCAGACCCAGTCTAGCAGCTGCTTCCTTTTGGACTGGACCAGCTCGGTCAGTAGTCAGCAGTAGTACTGCTGTTGTGCCACTCTTGGTGGTGGACACTGAAATCCCCCAACTAGAGTTTATTTTGTGGGCTTGCCATCCTCAGTGCTACCTCCAAGTGTTGTTCAACATGGAGGAGTACTGATTCATCAGCTGAGGGAGGACGGTATGTGGTAATCAGCAGGAGGTTTCCGTGCCCATGTTTAACCTGGAGCCATGAGACTTTGTGGAGTCCAAAGTCAATGTTGAGGACTCCCAGAGCAACTCCCTCCTGACTGTATCCAACTGTGCCATCACCTCTGCTGGGTCTGTCCTGCTGGTGGGACAGGGCAGGTGACGAGGAAGCTTCAACTGCATTGAAAATTAGGAATAAAGTTAAAGAGAAGGAGAACTCAAGAGCTGTTAGTAATGGAGGTAATAGGTCCCAAAAAGAAGGTGCAAAAACTGGCATAAGGGCACTTTATCTGAATGGTCGGAGCATTCGAAACAAGGTGGATGAGTTGACGGTGCAAATCATGGCAAATGGGTATGATGTAGTGGCCGTTACAGAGACATGGTTACAGGATGGTCATGACTGGGAGTTAAATATCCATGGGTATCAAACTGTTCGGAAGGACAGACAGGAAGGTAAGGGAGGTGGTGTCGCTCTGATTTTTAAGGATGATATCAGGCGGTAGTGAGAGATGATATAGGTTCTACTGAACAAAACGTTGAATCCATTTGGGTGGAAATTAGGAATAGCAGGGAGAAGAAGTCACTGATAGGTGTGGTCTATAGGCCACCAAATAATGACATCGTGGTGGGGCGGGCAATAAACATAGAAATAGCTAATGCATGTAAAAATGGTA